CACTTGACACTCAGGTAAGGTGTACCTGAAAGTCATCCAACAGGCAATGACCCACAACAGTGCAAACATATACAGCAGATGAATAACAATATAGATAAGCGTGAATCTTCGTCTGTACTTCTGAAAACCGTGCATTAGAACAGCTTCTTCAGACGGATATGAATATGAACATCTGATTCTGACTTTGAAAGTCATAGACAAACAAACAGAAAATTTACCTTTTTAGCTGCTGGCGTGATCCTGATCAATGTGGCTCACATTCCTCTCCCCGGTATGGCAGCGCTGCAGCAGAGCCTGTGGCTGCTGACTGTGTTTACCTGCGTGATTGACAGTGTTGCACAGCACATCTGATAGCATGTGCTTGTAGTTTGGTTAGTCATAATTGTGTGTGTCTGTGCATGTGCGTGAGTTACTTGGTGTTATGTCATGCTCCTCCCCCCACCGCCCTGCGCCTCATCAGTTACGTCACGTCACCATAGTAACCTCGGCAGTGGTGATGCATTCTGCTTCACTGGACCACCAGCCACCTAAAACACCCAGCAAGGTCTGTGTGAATGTGTCTGCACGCATCTCACACAAATGAATGTGTGCGTACCTCCACTTTGCTGATTCTTGCCTCTGTGTGTGTGTGTGTGTGTGTGTGTGTGTGTGTGTGTGTGTGGAGTCTAATGGAGCACAAACTCAAGTTATTAAGGAATGACAGGAGACAGAGAGGACTCCTGTTGAGTATGTGGAGTGTGTTTTGTGCTTTGAACTTGTTCACTGTCTCCTGCGAATGTCACCAACGCACAGAAACATTGGCTAAGGGGAAGAGCATACAGTAAGAGGGCAAAAGGCGTCACAGCTGTATTGAAGCGCTGGCACTGATGCAACGTGGCAGATTTCACCCTTCAGTTCTCCCTTGTAGCACTGTATACACTGTAAGCAAGTGCACTGCCCAGCTGTGTATTCTGTGAGTTTTAACATGTAATGCATGTTTGTTTTTCAGCTAACATTCAAGGCTCTGTTCACATGACTTGAATTGGACCTAGTCATGCAGAAGGTTTCTGTTTTATTTGCCTGCGTTTTGAGATTTCCGCATCCAACCCAATAGAGTGCAGGAGCATAGAGCCGTTAGGTAACATTTTATAATGCAGCGTGCAGTTCTCAATGTCATTTAGTCATGTAAACCAGAAACCCAAAAATCTCTCACTGGTTCTTACTGTTGCTTACATGGAGGTACAGTGGAGGAATACAAGACCAAGGAGAACAGTCCTCTGAAGCAAATTTAGATATACAACACATTTTAGCAGTTTAGGAAATATGGTGTTAACCAGTGGTGGGCCATGCATTTGACTCTTAAGCCTTCAGTGGTGTCCTACCTGAATGAAACCACCTCTTAACACCGTCATTATGACACCACGGCTATAGAAACCATCAGTATTATGCAGAAAGGCAGCATAACAGGACGTTGCATCGCAGACAGGTATTTCATGTAGCGAGAATGAATGCCATAACTAAAGCAAGAAACCCAGTTAAAACAATTCAACAAGTCTTCATTAACTGCAGCCACAGCTGCACCACATACATCACATCAGGGTTCTCACCACACTATTCTCTTGAATAAAAACACGCTGTGTCTTGACCCGCTTTGCTGTCTTTCAAGCTGCGTGTTTGGAAAATTTGACATATTTTCCAGTATAACGTGCAAATTTTCCTAAAAAACTTGTTTCTCTATCATCGTCTTCGCTGCTAATGGATAGCACGTTAGCAGCAAAGACGCTAATGCTAACAGGGGGAGTGTCGCTAAGAGACCCCCGCTACACTGTCAAAAATTTCTGTTGCGTACCCTGCACATCTAGCACGAGCATCGATATCAGCCCAATAAAATGACAAAATTATATATTTTACTCACCAAAACTTGTGATTGTTTGAACACAAACTCCATCCTCCTTTCTTTCATCATAAACAGTTCAATCACTCTGTTGAGCAGCTAATCTGTGTGTTTCACTTCCAACAATAAGTCCTGTTTTATCGCTATGGAGGCTAATGCTGAAAGTCGGATCTGTCCAATCGTATTTCTGGCATAAGTTGTAATTTGCTTTAGAATGCCCGCTTGCCTAACTTAAAAAAAATAAAAAATAAATAAAACTTTTATGATAAAGTTATAGGTTGTGCAGCTCGCTACAGACAGGAACCACTAGCTTTGGCTTAGCTCTCTGACCATCCAACCAGAGGACGTGAAAGTGCTGACGCTATCGTAGGCCAGCGCGCTGGCCCTGAGACACCCAACTATAAATCTGATTGGGTAAAGCAACAGTTTCATTGCAATGCATTTTCAACCACAGGCGCCTGCACCTTAGATTCTGAAGGCCTCGGGGCAGATTTCTGTAACCCTGGCAACACATGATGGCTGAAATATGATTGGATAAAAGCTCTAATATAAACAGATGCTGTGGAAGCACTACAGCCCAGAGATGCTATGAAATGCAGAAAATGGACTATTGGTAATAATGTAGAAAGAATAATGGGAAAATATTACAACATAAGTCAGTGATTCTGATAGAGCCCAGCAGAGAAGGCCTTGCTGGCCCTGATGGCCACCACTGGTGTTAACAATCCCTCTACTCATCACAAACTTTAAACCATTAACTCTTGAGTTGGCGAGCTCCACTTGAGTCATTGTCTCTATTGATGTATTATTCTTTATAGGACCATCCTGGTTAAACTATCTCACATCTTTGGAAAATTCTTTTCATAATTTCAGTCTGTCATTTATAGACTGAGACACACAGAAAGATGTTTTCAGCTCCAAACAGTGCAGAGGACAATTAAATCGAAAAACAGCAGCTTTGTATTCAGAAGTTAATTTGAGCTTGTGGTAAATTGATTCTTTCATTGATTGTCTTTGTTCTTAAAATTGTTTTGGCATTTTAGCATTCCTTATTACAGGAATTCCTTACAAATAGTTAAATTCTATTTCTTTGAACCTTTATAAAATTCACCTTTAGTACCATCCTGTCTGAAACTTGCAGTGCTGCCATCCTTGCCAGGTCTCACTTGAACCACTGCTTGATACGGGCCGTATCAGTGAGATGTACCTCTTTTAAAAAAGGTTAAATAGAAATAAAGCTTTCTCCTCACTGTTTTCAGGTGAACAGCGAGGGAATGTGTTAGATTTATGTTTTATTTCAGCAGAATGACCCGGAGTTCCTGATTTGACTCCCACCCTGCTGAACCTTCATTGAATATCATTACTCTGCTGTCCCTCCCCACTGTAAGATGATAAGATGCAGGTATTTGGGCTGTGATGTCAAACGTCAAATTATCTCCTATCTTCAGTGTTTGATGGCAACGTTGTTATCAGCACTGTACCAGTATTTACAAAAGTATAATGTTCCACATAGCCTTGTTTCTTACCACTATTCTTACATTTAGGTATCAGCAGGAGCTAGTGAGTATTTTATTTCGAAGCTTTGCTAAAAAAAATTACAGCATATTCTGGTAGTTTGACAGCAGCGTGTCTTTCCAGGCTCACAGTCTCTGTTCACATGCTCAGCGTATCTGTCTGCTGGAATCAGTTTATGGATAAAATACCGAGGTAAAATAAGGGAAATCCAGCAAACAAAATACCTTTGAGATCAAAGGATTTTATCACATTAATGCAAATCTAATATAGCCATAAAGCAGCCCTGCTTGGTTGACTATTTCATCAGACATCATCATCAGAGCATCTTGGGACAACAGTGAGAAGACAGTCCAATCCACAGCTGCTAGCAGACAAATGATATGATGCTCACTGCTGCTGTAACTCACCTTGAATTCAAAATGTAAAGTAACGTTACCAGTAAAGTGACCTGAACCTCACGGACTTCATGGATCACTTTCACAGTTTTTTCACTGATTCAGTGAAATTTAATAAGTGGCCTGACTGTTATTTCACCTGCTGTTTTCAAGGTGAGGAGGCAGCTTTGGGACTCAGTTTTTGAGCCAGAAAACGATGGAAAATGTAAATTTGGACATCTACTGAACAGCTAGTAAAAAAAAAAACCCTGAGTTGGTCTTGTTTTACACAAAGTATAGACCACTTTAGATAGACATTGTCAACTCAGAGCCCTCAAGGAGAAAAAAACGACATTTTTTTCATGCTGTTTAACCTGGGCAACTAAATGGAATGATATGGATGGCTACATATCAGAAAAGATTCAAGGGAAAGTATGCTGGTTTTTGTTATTTAAGGTACTAGCCCTATAAAGTAAATTTTATAATACAGATGTTTCTAGGAAAGGAATGTGGATGACATTGCCATCACTGCTCTTCTGCATTTCTGGCTTAAGGTTAAGTAAATATATGCTTCCAAGCACATAATACTGACGCTGCTGTCATCACTCCAGAGCATCCTATTCCAGTTCACTGCCTCTTTGTACTTCCCTTCCTGTGACATAGCTATTTGCAAAATGTTGCAAACGTTTCATGTTTCTGCATTTTGATAAATATAACCGAGCGTGGTGCTATTTATAGAAGCCTTGGCGTGCTCTGCACCTAAGTCAGTGCCTGTTGCATGGTGGGAGAGGAGATGGGTCGGAGGTGGGGCGCTTGAGGATACCGTGACCCAGATGACTGAGCCGGGATGATCGGCCTCGCGGCGCTCAGCATGCTGCCGTACTAATGCTCCCGCAGGAGTGTGGTGACACAAGAGGCATGTCTCATCTGCCTTTTGTTCTGCAGCAAGAAGGAAGGTTCGGATTATTCAGGAATGTTGATTAACTGTGGAAGAAGAGCTTGCGCATCGTGGCTGCTACACTCTTTGTGTATGGGAGGGGAGTGTGATAATGATGTGATAATCATGTTATGTTACATAAAACAACATGCAAAGTGACGCATTCGCTGTCTTTTACTAAATCAACTCTCTTGAGTACGAGCTTCCACTAATGGTTTGTCCAGGGGGCTGTTTTCAGTGAGCATTTTCTTTGTGAATCCTGCTTAATCATTCCGCTTTCTCTTTGTTTTCTGCCTCCCAGGATATCATGTTTCCAGCTCCATGGTTGTGGAGGAGGCGAGGTGGGAGAGTCGTCACCTTCTACAAGAAGACAATGAGTCCAAGCTCTATTCAGAGCCGGAGAAAAACTGCACTGAACCAGGTGAGACTGTCTGAGAGGTGGAGGAGTTCATCTCTGTGTCCTAACACCAATGTGGGAGTTTTCTGAAAAGCTTTGATTAGAGCAACCAGATGATTATTTCAAGTGGCCTTCATTTTTGTAACACGCATGCCTACTGCATCTGGCATTGGAGCTTCACCCTTATTTGGGCCAAAGCCTACCAGACTCTGTCATGATTCCACCGGGCATGATTGGATCGGGTGCAGCTGTGCCTTTATAGTTTGGTTTTTAGATGGTTGGTTGAGTGACACCATCAAAGGTCGTAGTGATTATGGGGTAACAATTACAGATCAGCCTGTGTATTTTATTTTCTAAACAGCTGCCAGTATATGAGCTAAGAGTTAAGCAATTTGGCTTTTTTAGGGCAGATTATTTGTAATCAACGAGACCAATAACTGATAATTAGAACTGGCATACATTAAAAAAAAATAAATATAAAAATTATGGTATTAAAATTTTAAATATTTCAAATTCCAGTGCAAAACTCTGTCGCATTGTCTTTTTTTGTGTGTTTTACATGTGTTTAATAAAGAACTTTACGACCTACGCTCTGCAGTGTTGATAAGCTACTACTGGTGATGTGTAACCAGTAGGTCGGTAGGCGTTACTTTGCTTAAGACCACAGAACAGTGACCACAGATAGAGAAGGGCAGCTGCCTCAGAGTCAAAGTGACATATTTCGAAGTCAGTCACAAGTTAGACAGTGAGTCAGGTGCGTGGTTAAAGCCACATGTCTGCTTCTGCCACCTTTGTTGTGCGGATTGCCGCATTGTCCTGGAGCAACAGCACACCAGCTTGAAGCTATCATCTCCTTTTTCCTTTCATTGCTTCAAACATTTGAGTTTTTGTGGACAGTGATGTAATAGTACACAATTATGCCCCAAAATGGGAATTATGCTCCTTGTTTCTGGGTGAAGCCGAGAACTTTTTGAAGTGCCCTTGTGTACTTTGCCACTCTGGTTTACCTTCGTGCAACAGCATAAAATTACAGCATTGGGCTTTGATTTTTGGGACGATGATTTCAGATTGTTTGGCGCAATCTAACTGGACATCAAGACACCATCCAGCAGACTTGGGCAGTGTGTTGTGACTTCTTTACTGGGTGCCCTACTTACAAAAGTTAAAAAAAATATTACAAAAGTTACCAATGTGGAATAAACCACTTGACAATGATAAATAACAAACTGACAAATCTTATGTTATTTCACCAGTATTTAGCATGGTTTCCCTCTCAGTAATAGAGTTAAATCATCAGTCGAAAGTTGAGTTGAGGTGTTTGAGAGGTCTGATCAGGAAGTGTCTTCCGGGTGACTTCCACCTGAGATTTTCCTGGCATGTCCAACTGGTAATTAGATTGTGGGGAAGACCCAAAACATGCTGGGAGGATTGTGTTTCTCAGCTGGCCACAGAATGTTTAGAATTGCTCAGGAGGAATGTTTCTGGAGAGATGGACATCTGGACTAGGTTGACATGACTCTGAGTAAAAAGAAGAAAAAAATTTGTGCAGTTAAAAAAATGAAATGCACATATGTGATGTCCCTCAGGGAGGTGCACTGGGACCACTTGCGTTGTTATTGTAATGGAGTTTCCCATTACTGTTCATGTTAAATGACCTGGCAGGGATTCAATCTCACTGTACATCAGCTTATAGGCGGTTTGTAGTCATTTATATATTTAGCAAATACACGGAGGATTCAACATTTTAAGGGTCCACACTTTTTCCATGGGCTGTTTTAAGATTAGATTAAGTAAATATCCTTGTCAGGAAATAAACACTTCATTCTCTTTTGAGTAAATTGTCATTGTACGCCTATAAATTGTTAAACATGAGGACAAATACTCACAGGACTCCAGACTAACTTTGTATTTTTGAGTTGCACTGCTGTACTTAACTTTTCATTTAGAATCACCAAGTCAGTTGCACCCAAATTTTTTTCTCGAGGCCTTTTGCTGCAGCAATATTAAGTGTAGCTGGTGGGTGTCTGCGTTGTGTTATGAAGAGAATGCTGTGACACACCATGATCTCTTGAATAACAAATGAAAGCACCATGTAATAAGCTGCCCACTCCAGCTCCTCTCCCACAGGAACATAATACAAAAGGGTTGAGACTGTGCATGAGCACTGGGTGTGGGGATAGCACCAGGGACTGGTGGTGGGTTTAATTTTGACTGGTCAAAGATGCATTCAGAATTACTGCCGGCCATCCCTTCCTAATAAATGAGCTTGCTGCTTATTATTGGCATTTGAACGAGACGGGATGTACTGTTTGAAAGCAGCAAAAAGCCACTGAAATGTGTTGTTACTGAATGTAATAACACCAACAAAGTGCATGAAGAACATTAGAACATCTGAAAAGATACAATTTTTAATTTACACAAGCAAAAAACTTCTCAGTTAAACCAGCATATCAAATGCCACTAATGTATCCAGCGCTTACTTGTAGAACACTAAATTGCAGTGGTTCAATCTTACAGGCCAGCCAGTTATAAACTTGTGAATGAAAGTACAACGCATGTTAACGCAGTCCAACAGATCAGCAGATTAATCAGCTGCAGGAACTTACGGAGCAGGTGAGTTCTGCAACGTAATGGAAAATGTGTGCGGGGAAAAAGACGATGTTACGTGCACACACACAGACAATGTGGGGTGCACTGGTATGTGCAATTAAAATGTTTAGTTGACAGATTACACGCCGCATAAGGGTCAACTCCTAATATGAGATGTGTCATATTCCAAAGAAAAAAATTATATATTGTCATTGTTATCTATTTGTTTGTTTCTCTTGGTAAACTTTAAAAAAAAAAAAGAGAGAGAACTTGTCAAAATATTTTTTTAGCAGTAAATAGTTGGTTGGATTAAAATTAAGATTGATTTAGATTTGGCTTGTGGAATAATTGATTATTTGAAAACATGTGACAGTTCCGACATCCCAGATGGGGCATTTTCCATTTTTTTTAAAGCCAACATGACAGTAAATTGAATATTTGAGCATTTTTCTCTGACCTCTGAATAAATGGATAATTAAGAGAATATCAGACAACAAATGACAATGAAAATAATCACTAAGTGCAGCCCCAGTATTTAAAATTAGGTTTAAATGCTCTTTATTGTCTCCCCTGGCTTTGCCTTTCATTATGCAGTAGCAGTGATAAATTATTAGTGTTGGTGTAAGATTGTAGAAATATCAGCTGACTACCAGCAGAAAAATGTACAGCGCACCTCCACTTTCCTTCACCACAAACACACACACACACACACACACACACACACACACACACACACACATACACATACACACACTACCCAGTCTCTGGAGAGCTGTCTACAGAGGAGCTGAAGTCAGGGAGGAAAAGTGAACAGCACTCCCTCTGGTGAGGAGCTGGAGACAAACGGAGGAAAAGTGAGGAGGATGATGACGTTGAAATGAAAGCTGATGAAGAAAACAAAGTTCTCCCAGGTAGAAATCTACTCTGCTCTCCTTCAGCCTGAACGCTGTCGGCGCCACTGTGTGTGTGTGTGTGTGTGTGTGTGTGTGTGTGAGAGAGAGAGAGAGACTCTTCCTCTGTCTGTGTGTATGAAAAGCTCTTATGCCTTATGTTTGTTTTCTCTGTGGGCTTGTCAGTGTGTGTGTGTGTGTGTTTGTGTGTGTCTTTGTATGTTTTCCTCGTGGCGTGGAGCGTGTGAGTGTTTTCCATGTGGAATCCTGGGGCTTTACAAGGCTGACGTCCTGCCAAGCATTCTCTTGATCTCATTGTAAACACACAGCCCCCATCTAATGCACGCCTGCACACACACACACTCCATCCTCCTGCAGCTTGAGGAAGCAAAGACGTTGCTCAGTCTGACTGGACTCATATGGACAAGTTATATTTAGACATCACATAGTTTATAGCCTGTTTCTGTTTAATTACGCTTTGTCTCCAGAAACTCTAATTACCTTAATAGGGATTATTCCTGCTTTCCTGCACTAAAAAGAGCCTTCACAACGTTCTCTGTACGCTTCACTTCCTCTCTCTCTCTCCCTGTCGCTCTATTATTATCTGTTTAGCTCTCCCGTCCCCCCGCAGCGCTCGCTGTCTCTTGCTTCTTCTTTGTGTTTTTCTGTTCTGTCTGTGTTTTTTTTTTTTTTTTTGAGATACAATCATCAGTTCAATTCCAAGTGGTAGAATGTCACACACTGCAGAAACACAGCGCCGAAACATCCACTCACTGAGAGGACACGTGCACATGCATGTCTGTCCATGCTGCTGATGTGGTAACACGTGCATATTCATTTAAACAAATATTTCATGTCTTGGGCAGCATCTTGGCATTATAGCTTTCAGAACCAGTGGCACATTTTTTGCAGCAAGCTTAATTAGATCTGTATCATTTCTGTTATTTCCTGCAAGATTTAAAAGATCACCTCTTGTTGCTCAGTACGACCTGATTCAGGTTGAATTACTGGATAAACTAGTCAGAGGAAGTCACCATCCTCCTATCAAGGTAAGCCTGACAGTGAAAGAAAATGGAGAGCTTTTACACTAACAGATTTGGGGGAAATAGCCTAGCTCCTACTTTTAGTGTGCTTGACAGCCTCACTGCAAATACGCAATAATGGAGCTTAGACACGTTACGCAAAGCCCCCAAAATAACGTTTGCTCCTCCTGCTGCTGGCTCCGGCCAGCTGGGGTCTGTGTGGCTCCCTCCAGTGAGCAGATCAGCTGAACTGTACTGAGCTGGATCGAGCTAAATAGGAATGATTTTGTTTATAGAAGACACGTTTGAATTATTCTGCAAACAACATGTTAGTGAGTGATCATCATCATCACCCCGAGTCAGATGAGAAAAGTTCCGTTCTAGTATCTAGTTTTTAGACACATCTTGTCTTACTTTACTTTTTAGTTCATGATGTTACATAAGGTTAAACTGTTGGGAAATGTACAACGGTTTTAGGCCAGTGTTTACTGTGTTGGGAAAGTTTTGTCTTTTGTCTTTTTAA